TAGGGAAAGGATGACTGGGGTATCTTTGCCCATCCTGTTCTTCCCCCTTCACTGCCTTTGGCTTACGGGTTCAGTTCCAAGGCTTGAAGGCATCTGGGCATATTGTGTGACAAAAGGTGGAAGCCTCTATGGTAGAAACTAAAGGAGAAAGCAGTGCACACGTTCCTCGGTGGTTTTTCTTTCACCTGAGCTTTCCATTTCTTATGCTGATGCCAAAGGGAGAAAGGAAACCCTTCATATGTTCCATTCACCATTAGCAAAGGTACTTACGTCATCTCGTAGTCCTTCGGCTTGTCTTCCCGACAGCAGCAGCAGTAGGATAAAACACCAATAACTACAATTGCAGCAAGAACACCTCCAATGATGCCAGCATAAAGGGCAATGTTCATGGATGCTATACAGGAATAAAAAAAGACCTCTTTAGCAGCACTTAAAATCCCAGTACCAGTTGTCAGATCCTACTACCAGATCTAGCTTGAGTGGGAACCACATTTATTGGACTGCAGCAATTGCAATTAACTCTGTACTGGGTTGCTGATATGTCTATAGGAGAATTGCTTAAATAGAGACAGGGAAGAGCCCCTGGCTCTGAACAGCTCTTGTTACTCAAGCTGATATTCAGACTTCAGGTGCTTAGGCCTGTCTCTTGTTACATGCATCTTTTGTCTATGAATTAACTCCATGAAAACTCTATGAGCACCTGAGGCAGAGAATTTGTTTTAATGATGAAAAACTTATTTTTATCCACTTATTTTGACAAAAGAAAAGAAAAGCAGAATTTTATACTTCAGTCTGCCTTGTCTCTGTTCATGCCTTCGCGCTTAAACAGGATGCATCCTCCGGTACTACTCTTCTGTAAGCAACCTGGTCCCTTACGTGGCATAACGCTGAGTGTAATGTTGCAGGATTCCTGTCCTACTCTGTTGCTTGAAGTGCAGATGTAGAAACCAGAGGTATCTGCTGAGACGTTCTTCAGAGTTAGCTGTTCTCCTGTTGCTAAATGAAAACCCAGTGAGGAAAAGAGAAGAATTAGAGCAGGGAAAGAAATGGGGACAGAGGCTCAATTCTAGCCCAGGCTAGTGGGAGTGAAGAGGAGTTATTAAAACTGATGCATTGTTCTGCCCTGCTTGAAAGCTAGGGCAGCTAGCTGCCTATGGTAGTCTCCAGGTATTACTATGACTTGTGGGAGGATAAACGGAAGTGCACGGTTTTGATTACAGGGAATACAGGGCATTCCTTTCAGAAAGAAAATTGTAGCTTGGGGGGGTAAAGAAGTATGCAACCTTAGTAACTAAGTTTGTTTGTAGTGGGTAAATGGCAGTAAAGAGAGCACCTTTCTTTACTGAGAAATGGTAGCTGGCTTTGGGAAGTGACTATTTAATGAACTAACTTGCAATATGGCAAAAAGTTCCTCGGTCCTCTGACTATTAGTATTTAAGATCTTAATTATTTAGTAGTGGGGGAAGTCATCGTCTAGCCTGAGAGAGACCATTGAGGCTGTGAAAAAGACCAAGGAAAAGAAATGCAGTGACTGGGGAATACTGTGGCATGAGACATTTTCTACCCAACTTGACAGAGCTCAGAGCTTAGCTCTCTGGAAGTCAAAACGAAACACTGAGGTTTTGTTCGCTGCATCTCCTGTTAATATTTATATGTGTAGTCCATGTTTTTTCTTCTGACCTACTGATAAAGGTCCAGATTCCCAGTCTAAGTGCACAAGGTTCTGAATATTTCCAATGGCTTTTAGATTTTATTTTCCCTGTGTGATTTCATTTCTTTCCAGCTTGCTCATGGGACTAGGATTCTGTTCAGTTCTTTGCTGCCGCCTAGTGCCAGACAGCAAAAGAGCATGCAAACCAAATAACAACAGACCCTACATTCTTGTTTATTTTTAAAAATTCTCTCCCTCCATACTCCCCTTCTTCTTCTTCTTCTTCTTTTTTTTTTTTTCTTTCCTCCCTCCAATGTGATGTTTACAGTTCTCAGAACTGCAATCCATTACTGGACTGTGAAACCTTGTAAATTAAATCAAAACCAATTGACTGGTGAGTCAAACTGGAAGAATGTGGGTCAGACATCATCAATATTGGAATGGATCTGAATGGAATTCATTACACTCTGTCGCACTGAGACTTGCTTAGCACAAATACCGAGAAACGGCTTGTTCGTAGTGACAGTAGAGCCTCCAGCCACTGGGGAGGGGGGAAAAGAGGGAGGCAGTCTCCACACTTACTGGACTGACTGGTGAGTCAAACTGGAAGAATGTCTGCCCCAATGAACTGCCCCAATGAAAATGAGACTGAATGGAAATGGATCAGAACAAACTTCTGCCCCAGGGAAGAACAGACTGAAGGCAAAAGCTTCTATTGCTTTAGGAAGACAAATCAGTGTGGTCAGGGCTGTGTCTGATGCATTGGCACCACTTAGTGGCCAGTCAAGTGAATAAGGTTTGTGTTTCAACTTGCACTTCTTTTACATAGTTTATGCAAGAGTTATCCAGAGAGCTGAATATCCTACAGAGTAAATTCAAATACATCCCCGTCATGCAGGAATTGAGCAAACCAGGAAGAAATAGCATTGTTTAAAGCAGTAAATATGTCATGTGTCACTACTACACTTCAGAGACTATTACATCCTCATTTCTGTGTGTATACTGCTACAAGAGGTCCTGTCATGGAAATCCAGTTTGTTTTGTCCAGACTCTCAGTTAAAATAAAAGTAGATGAGATACTAGGGCCATATGGTTATGTTGTGGTCCTGAAGAACTGAAGCCCTCTTCATTTTCAAAGCAAGGAAGGAGGTGTTTCTCATACTACCTTCCTCTAGATACGTTGTCATGTTTAGAAGGCAAGTGGCTTCCAGAACTAACTTCTTTGCTTGCCTTCACTGCAGAAATGATCTAGGCATTGTTAACTGAGCTGGGCTATAAGGACAAACCTGTTAGAATCCCACCCTTATCCATGCAATTGTGTAAAAGGAACACCTTTCTAAAATCCTGGTCAGAGTACTTCCTAGAAAAAAAAAAAAAGTGTCTCTTTTTGAACTTGGAATTCAAAGGTGCTTTTTTTTTTTTTAATACTGATCTATAGAGAGCTCCATGGCTTAGTGATTTTGCACTTCTCATACCTGGTGTTTGCAGTGGACGGAGCTGATTTTGTACATCGTAGCTTTGCCAGGCATACGTGGGTGCTGGGGACCCCTCATGAGAAATGCAGGTCAGATTGATTGTCTGCCCATATTCTGCTGTCCCCACAATCTTACATTCTGGCTTGGATGGTGCAACTGAAGGAAGAAAAATAGAAGAGAAATGTATTAACCAGGTGCAGTCTTTTCTTTCAACTGCTCTTCTACATCTGTGTTGTTTTTTTTTTTTCCTGTGCTAAACAGAAGCTAGCCTTGCACATACCACTTTCTTGTTAAAAGAACCACAATGAACTTCTGTATCTACTGCTGATTTGTTTCTCTCTTCTTGATGCTTGTTAGTCAAAAAATAATCATAAGGTACTTTATGGGATATCTCTGATGGTATTGGGTAACTGATCCCGTGATATATCGAGTATGAGAAGCCACAGAGGGAATGAGGAAGGCCCAAAAATGGGCCTGGAGTTATTAGGAAACTGAACTTTACAACTCTAATGGATGATCTTTCCTCAAGTCAGGTATCTAAGGGAGTTGGGTGCTCTGAGCATATGTCTGTACTTGTAGAGCAGTAGAAAAGATAGAAAATGGAAGTTTGTCTGACTGGCAACAGTTTTTTGTTTTGTTTTTGTTCTTAATAGAAAATCTGTCATCTAAAACCATAAGGACATTACATGATGCACAGTGGGTTATCTAAGGGATCTGGGGCTATCTCCATCATGCTTACCAAGGACTAAAAGATCCATCAGTGCAGTCTGCCTGGGTGGATCGTTCCGGAGACGAACATTGCATGAAAAGGTACCATTGTCTTCCATGATGGCTTCATAGAGGATGATGCTGATGTCTCCTTTCTTTGCATCACCAGAAAACTGTATACGATTCTCATAGCCCTTGCCATACTGTATAAGCCCATCAAAATACCTAGTGACAGCATCATCCTACCAGAGAAGGAGAGAATCTAATCAGTCTTAATTACTGTGTGTGACTCTACAGCCAACTCCATGGATTAGCCCACACTTAAGAACAATCTGGAAAAGAGGACCTCAAACCTGCCCCAGTTTGCCAAAGAGTCCAGAAAATCATAAAAGCTCAGAAGTTTCTCTCTGAATGTCTATCTAGAATCCCCTTACCCTGTATCCCAAATCAGTGAGTTACCCATTTATTTTGATGAGACTTCTTCACTTCTCCTCTCCAAGACAGAAAACAGTAAGATTTGTCTGAGGTCACATCCCCCTATGTCAGTCACATTCCCCTATGACCGTACATATTCTCTTGCTTTCCTCCAGTGAAGGTCTTCAGAGAAGACACCCTTGGCAATTATTGAAAGATATCCAAAGGGTGCTTCACTTCTCACTAAATCCCAAGAAGTCAGAGAGAACTTCAGAGGTCTCTTTCATCTTCAAATACACCTTGTGAAGGTGGAAGCCTTCAAAAATCTCTCCCTGTACTACTTTCATCAATTTAAAATGTTTTATATAGTATCTTAAGCAACATATATGTAGTTTTTTATAGCATATCTGCATATTTCACTTATGGTTATAGAGGTAAACCCACAGTACATATAGTGATGTATTCTCAATAGTCAGCTGGAAGACTGAGAGGAAAGAAAAGGTTGGGGGGCTTGCTTACAATTGTGCAATGAAACTGTGATAACTCGAATCTAGAATCAGAATTTCTACTTGCTTAGTTCTGAGTTTAAATAGTCTTTCAGGAATCCTGTCTTCCAACACACATTCACATAGTCCTGCTTCCATCTCTTCTCCCATCCCAGTCTTGGATGACCTATCATATGATTCTTTATGCATCTTGATTTACCACACTGTTGATTTTCCTCCAGACAACAAAGTCTCCATCATTGATCTCAGCCGCAGAGTTAAAAGTACATGAGAGAGAAGCATTTTTTCCTCGTGCCACCTCTACTTTCTTGACAGGTGTTTCCACAGTGAGGGCATGAACAGTTACCAGAACTGGAAGAGAATAAATACTTCTGTCAGCAGAACTAGTGAAATCTGTTTTTCTACATATTTACATGTTTGGTCCCTTTGGCTTTCTCACACACCACAGCAATTCCACATGCCCTCTGTTCTCCATGGCATTCCCCACTGAACAGGAGGCAATGCGTGCTGTGGCTGATTGGCTATGGGCAGTTGTTGCACAAGGTGGCTAATATCTAAACTGTCCTTTCCTTTTCACACTCAATCCCCTCTTCTTTACCTGGACATAAATTCTCATCGAATTTTTGAGGATGTAATTTTTGAACCTTCCTTCAGTGCAGCTGACATTGTCTGGCAGGTTCAAAGCGTATAGAGGGAAGCAGATGAGCAGGTAATACAGGTGTACCAGCAGTCTTAAGGATGCAGGCTAAACTAAGAAAGGGGTATTTTCAGATTTCTGGGATGAAGGAAATTCTCCATCAGCTAACTTGCATCAAATCAAATCCACAAAGAATTGACATTTTGTGCTCAGGAACCGAAATATGTTCATGTGATACTTTGGACAGGGAAAAACCTAGAAAAGCAGAGAATTTTAGAGAAATAAAGGAACCAATAGCCCTTAGCTTTAAGAAATAAATCAGGCAATAGTCACCTTTCTTTGGGCATTGGAGCTGCTGTCTGTGGAACACAGGAGTAGTTGCGAGCTGCAGAAAACACCAGGGCGCGCATTTCCTGTGTGGCGCTTACCTCAGCGCGCTGAGCTTTACTCCACAGCAACGCTCTGCATGTTTGCAGTGGCAAGCGCTCACTGCTGGAGCTTTAGCTGTGCCCAGCCCTAGATGACCTTTGTGCCTGTGGTAGCCTGTGTTTAAAAGCACGCGATTTTCCCTTACGGTTAGTGCATTTTTTCTATGGAATCGGGCTGAGTCATTCAAGAAACGTAAGCCTGGAACCAGCCCTGCAGAGTGCTGCACACTCCTGTCATTGTATGGGGCACTCCCCTCACAGAGGCTCTCCCGCCATGAGGTGTGGTAAGGAGGGTTGTGGAGGAGGGCAGAGCTGGGCTCCCCTCCCGATGTGGGGGAGGGCAGCCAGTGCTAGCGAGGGCGTCCCTGAAAAATAATACAAATGTCAGAACCAAAAAGGTCTTGTTGTCAGTGCCATACGAATCACATCTCTGTCTTGTGCAAACCTCAAATGTTCCTCATAGCAAATGGCCCTTCAAGCCTTTCCTTAGAAATAGCCTGTGCATTAGAACTGCTGCATATTCCCTCTCCTGATAGGAGTTTGGGCGGAAACATTGATAGCAGGCAAACCTTTCTGTCTTCTCTACACTTCTTGTTGCCTGACAGCCGTGCCTTTCCTCCACGGCTGTCCTTAGAGCCAGCCTGAGACATGCTTAGAGCAAGTGAAGGCAAGCGAAGTGAGGGAAGCCAGTGGGGCAAAGTACTCCTAGCAGTGTTTTATTGCAGCCGCTCCCAGGCCTTCCTCTGCTCCGGAGCACCTAGTGCAAGGGCCATGTTTGCCAGCTCCTGGCTCCATTTTAATGATTCCCTTTGTATGAGAGACACCTGTAAAATCCTTCCAGTTGCTTATTGCAATTGGATAGACAAACTCTTCTGCAATACGGGGAAAACCACTGCGGTCTATAATAAGAGATGAAACAAAACCCGTATCGTGATGCTTTTGTCACTAAGAAACTCGTTCCACTAGGCCAGCATTCCTTGACCGGAGTTACTCACTCAGCCCTGAGGCAGAGAAGAAACTGCTCAACCCTAGACCTCCCCTTTACATATAATTTTCCGTCTTCCAAATGGACAACTAAAATCCTAAAATAAATGAGATTTGGGGTATTACTTTTTTCCCAAACATGTCTTCAGTGCAGTGTTACAAAACTGTTAAACCAAATAGCATCTGCTACAGGAACAGTCCATAAGCAATGTTGCTAATTTATCTCTTACTCCCATCCTAAAGCCAGTCATCTGATGCTCTCCCACCACTTCTGATTTTCCCCCCACTACTTCTCCTTCTGGCTGTCATGAAAGCTGTGTGGTTCAATTCTGGGAAACCACCTACTGGTCCTGAAATCAGTCCTGATTTCGTTCCTTCTCACTTCTCAACACTTTTCACAAAGATAGTTACTATTTCAAAGGTGATAGTCAATTCAGTAGCATTTTGGTTTTTTACTATCATCGGTCATTACCTATCTTGCTTTATCAAGTAGAACATTCAGCTACTTATAGGTAGCATACCTACAAATTGAGGTTTGTTTTTCAGTTTGTTTTTTTTTTTAATGACAAAATATTATTTTATCATCTAAAATGACAAAATTATCTGACAAAAGCTGAAGGGACAGAATTTCAAAGGAGCAGAGAAGTTGAATAGCATGTTAATCAGCAGAGGAATGGCAACATCTAGACTTAAGCCTTAAAATTACCATTTTTATTAGTATTTAGTATTTCTATAGCATTTTAAAGGAAAATTTGAAAAATGTTTTCTCTGTCTTTGCTCATCTTAAACCTTTGTCCTAGTACAAAGGAAGAAGAAAATAAAAATGACTTTACTTTCACATTGCCTATTGAATAGCCACTAATAAATGGTATCAAAACACAGTGAAAAAACTAGAGAGAAATATTTGCTTCCTGAAAAAAATAATAAGAGATTCTGATCAAGCAAAACTATTAACATTGTTTTGTCTAAGTTGTTTTGGGAAGTTAAAAGTTAAGTTGTTAAGGGAAAGTTGAAATGAGTTGTTTTGAAAGGAACTTCTAAAAGGAAATGCTTTGATTTTGATTTCTCAATATTTCAGAAAATATCAGTAGCTCCATTCAGGAGTGGGAGAGGGAAAACCTCTTAAATGAGAAATTATTTAGCATTAAAATAAAATATTTAATTCAAAATGGCTGTTCAGGGCTTTTCGTTCATCGAGAAGGCCAAAGTATCAGTCATTCGCACTACTGCAGTGAAGAGCTGTTCAGCCTGTGCAGAGATCTTGACACAATCTGTTCAACATAGCCCAGCATCCCAACACTGCACTGCAATGTGTGGTGCAGCTTCTCCATTCTGATGCAGTGCAGAAACCTCCTGTACCTTCCATTTTTTTTCACAGGCCAGTGGATTATTATCACTCGAGCCCTCCCAAACAGTAAAGAAGAGCTTCACAAAGCAGATAGATGCATGCTCCGAAGAGTTTACATACCACCAAATGTGGGAATAATGAAAAAGTAGAATAAATACCAATTCTTTGGTTAAAAAAAAAATAAAAGAGCAATTTCTATATGACTAGCTTAGAACGTATAGGAACATTTTTGTGTGAGAAGACAACAGACAGGTCAAAAAGCAGTGGAAGGGGAATTTTACACCCTGCAAGGCAGGATGAGAAGGGCAGATCAGAGAGAGGATTCAGTGATGAAGGCCAAGGATAAGATGTCTGATTTATATGTTTTGGTAGGGATTAGTGTGCATCCACTTGCCATGCATAATATAGAGAGATCACAAGTCACATAGGAGTACATATAAAGAATAGGTATAAACTTGGGAAGATATATGCTACATGCAGACTTATGTATAAAGTAGTAAACTCCAAAGACTTCTCCACTTCCAATTGTAGAAGTTTCTTCTTCAGACACAAAGATTGTGTTTAACAGACACCATTAAAACTATATTCTTAAAAACATTTTACAGCATCATGAAAAATAACATTCTTTCCCTGTTCCGGAAATTGTCTTGTGGCTTTAGGAGATGCCTGTGTGTCTGGACATTGAGTATGGAAATGATAAACACATCTATCTGATCATAAACATGCAGGAACTGTTACTAAACAAAAAAAGAAGCACACAAATTCCACTGGGATATTCTCACTTGCTAGGGCTTTTTTCTTCTACCCAACGCTGGAGGACATAACCATATTAGTACTCACCTGCACTGAAAATGAACAACTGAAGTCCTTTCATTTTCTTCCTCCTCATCTCTCCTCAGTTTCACCAGGAAACACTATGATTTTGAGGTAGTTGGTTAGATAAGCAAACGGCTCTAGCTGAAAGCCTGCTTGACAGCTGCACCTCAGGGCCACGTCCTCAGTCTGCTTTAAGAGCTTCTTCACCCATCCGCCACTCCCCCTCTGGCCAGAATGACAAGCCAGATCACCAGTAGACTTCGAAATCGCTTGCTGTTCTCCGCCTAAGGGGAGAGACAATACTTACAAACTCACCCTTCCTCTCCACTTAAACTACATTTCCCAGTTTCTCCCAGCACGCAGGTGTATAAAGCAAGAAAAAAGGTAAACCAAAGGGCGAAGTGACTGGGTGTGTACACCAGAATGACTGAAATCGTGCATGTGATGACATATAACTAAGGGAAATAAATCTTATTCATCTCAAATATTTGTTAAGGGAGCCTAAGGCTAAACTTACAAAGATACTCAAATGTTTCACAATGCAGAGAGCTGCCTAGGTCCATGCTTTAACGAACTGAGGTGCCTAATTCCACCTACGTTAGATGCCTGCCAATAGACAGCAAGAGGTGTCTCCACTGGGGTAGTCACCTATGCTCTATTGCAAGTTATTTGTGAGATGGAGGCACTTTTACGGCATGAGTGATAATTGTAGGCATCTTAGAAAAGGGGGAAGCAGATTTTTCAGATAAAATATATTATACTCACAATGCATTCATAATATTGATTATTTCTGTATTGATTTTAAATGAAGACTACCTCAAAAGTATATGTCTACAGTGTGGATGTTCCCATTTTATATTTTGCCTTTATCCGAAGAACATAGGAAGTGACAGAAATGGCATCAACGTCTGGTAATTGTCTGGTAATTCTCAGCTCTCTACATAAAACCTTTGAACACTCACTGAAATATGCTGGTTATAATCTCTAACGGATATCATACAATTATCCTCTTTGCAGAAATGCGATTTCTGCTGTCATTTGTATAGCTTCTGTATTCTCCCCAGGAATTCAAAAGCCACTTGCTTGATTTCAGCTGAACTTGGTTGATGGTTAGCAATCTTGAAGATGTGAAGTCTCTTTCAGTCTCATAAAAATCAGCAGCTGGAAGAAGAGAGAAATCTAAATTAATGGTACCTCCTCTTAGGCATTAATCATTCCATCCCAAGAATTTGTGCCTCAGCAGCTAGTGCATACTAACCATGGTCTGTCTCACCTTTTGTTATATGGCATAGAGAAAAGTCACAGGGGCAAAAGCTGATGGCCATGTGAGGAACATTTATTGGACTGAAGGGCCTGGACTTCTGGACATGCATCCACTGGAAAACAGGCTTGCTAATACCACTGCTCATGTAATACTTTGGGTAATTTGGGTTTTCTTAACATTAGCAAATGGCTAATCAGAAAACGCAGTAGAAATAAGTTGCAGAATATAGCAGAAAACAATGCCTGTAACAATGCTCTGAGTTTAATAATCCTAATGTCTAAAAGATGGTACGTGTTTGTTGTTAACCCTGAAACAAAAGCATTATTCTCACATAAATTTGTCATTTAAATTGTCGAAGTAATAAGGTGTGTCATCTCCAACCGTATTGGAGTGTATCTTGTTCCATTATGCTGGCAAGGAGGGAGAAAGATTGGCTGTTGTCTAATGGTCTATAACTGGGAAAGGCTGCCTTAATTGGTATCAGTGCTAGCTTCACTGTGGGACCAGTTTTACCCTGCTTCTATCAGCCATTCGGTTGCATTATAAATAAATAAGTTGGTGCTGAGATTGCTAATGCCCCACTGTTTTGGAAATTCAGCTAAATGCAACTGTTTTTTCCAGCATATGCTTCACAAGCCTGATGATTACATAAATCTGACTTTAAGCCAGTTGTTTAGATGAACTTTGTTTATTGCTTCTGTTTGTTAGTTATTTAGGCACGGAGTAGAAAGGATGTTTAAGCACTTAAATCCTCTCACTCCTTTCTAACAGTACTTTGCTCTGAGCCACAGGAGTTTTTGATAAATGCGAGAGGCAAAAGTACAGTTTATCCCTTGGAAGTTTGTAGAACAGCCCTGTCATTGATGATGGCCAGACAGAAAGACTAATCCACTGATGATTTTAAGAGATTTTAATTTCAAGTATGCTTTTGTATTGACTTTCTTTCCTGTTTAGTATGAGCAGCAAAACTCATACCAGAAGTTTACTACACTCATGGACATACACATCACTGGCACTGTTACAAGCTAGGATGCCTTCATTGTCCTGCCAAAAATACATAAACTGGTAAGTTTCACATATGAGGATATGAGGATTAATGCATATGTAGCATATAATTAACACTAGAAAAGACAGTAACTCTTTTTAAAGAAGAGAGAGGAAGAACTTTCTATGAAGATCCCATCTCACTCACCAAGACAATAGCACCTGGCCCTGTTTGGTTGGATGAATCTGTGAACAGGTATATTGATCATCAATGACAGATATCAAAACAATTAAATCATGCTGTTTTGTTTTATGTCTGTATGTTCTATATGCTCTTTAACAAAGATTTCTAGTGTCCTTGCCTTTGTCTTGAATGGTCATCTTGGGCCTATAAAGCAACAACTTGTACGAAGCAGTGAGGATGAGCCACCAGCCTACCCACTGGCTGTGTGTTCAAGTCCCTCCGTCATCTGCTGCTGCAGTTGTATCCTGAAAGACGCAAGAACAAGATTTTCAGAAGCAGCTGAGTGACTTATAAGCTGGATGCCAATGGTGTGTATTCTTGTGCAACATTCAGATGCTTTGAAGTCTCTGTTCTGCTATTGTAATGAGATAGGCAAACTTCCTGGATAGGAGCTGATAGGCAAACTCCTGAAATCACTTCCTGCCTCAAGTAGTAGCAAGTAATAAGCACACATGCTGCATGGCATTGCAGAAGTAACATAGAGCTAATTGCATTGCTCAAAATTTTGACTAAAAATTGCATTGCCCAGCGGAGACACCAGTAGGATCAATAAAAGCCATCCTCCTTTAGTACTTGAAAACATTAGGATGCATCCAAACCTGTAATCTCTAATCTATTGCTTCCTTTGCTGTGACACTCAAGATACAATATACCACTTTCTCCTCTTTCTGCTTGTCCTCCTATCTCAACAACATTCTAAAGACAAGTCTGGGCTATATGTGCTCAGAGACATGAGTGGCTGTTTCTTCCCTGTCCTGATGTGGCACTCCTGCAAATGTGTCCCCATCCCCATGTGGGGATGCAGCATTCAAGTAAGAGGCAAGGAGCAATGCACCCCTCCCCTTAGCACTATGCAGCAGCAAATGTGCCTGGGTAATGAGATAGGTCAGTCCTCTTTTCCACTTTCTTTCTTGTTGGTTTGTGTGTTTGTAAAAGAAATCAACAGGTGGATGTCGCTGTGTGGTCAGAACAGGAGCCAGGGGGATAGGGAAATAGAATTTAGGCTTTTGTCTGATTCTGCTGTGGACTAGCTTGGTCTGAGCTTTGCTGGGGAGTCAGCCAATTGGAAGTGAAGGTTTCTTGTTTGAAAACACGTAAGGGGAAGATGCAGTGTCCCTTGGTCTTAACCCAGCTAAAAATGAGAATCAGCTATGGTCGCTTGCTTCCAGGGAGTTTGGAGTGGCTTGTCTCGTACTGTATTTCACAAGCACCTTTGAGGTTGTACTAGCATTTCAGATTTGCTTAGTGGGGTGCCAGTTGCCTGGGGGCTGCCTGCAGGCCGAGGTTCAGTCTCTGTGTTTCTGAACAGTTCTCTGAGTGCCTCCTACAATGTGAGGCACGGAATTCTTTCCCCATGCAATCCAGCAGTCAGTGTCAGGACAACACTATATTTAGAAAGCTGATAAAGGTTTGGTGCTGACAGTTGTCCTGCCCCTTGATGGCGAAGCCACAGAAAAAGAGAGAGGGTAGCTGACTTCTCTCTCCCTAGTACTATTTCCTGCCAAATTTCTTGCCCTCTTTACTGGACACCGCCACTGTGCCTTAGACAGGAATCTACCAGTTTTCCAGGGGATACTGACGGTAAGTGCTGTTTATTTCCTTGCGTCCCTGCTTGCCGTCTCTGTAAGCAGCAACCGCCGCTCAGCCGCCTTTGGAACATGGCTGCGCTCCTCGTGTGAGAGCAGCTGCTGGGGCACCTCAGAGCCCTGTGGGCTGTCGGGGCACAGCAAGTCGGGACCCTCTGTCTGAGGGCAAGTAACTGCTACTACTTGTTCATGTTCCTAACGGAGTAGCAGTCCCCTTCACTGTCCTGTGTGCAGTTTGGTGCACACAGTGGGTATGGTAAGCTCAAAGAGAGGCATTCCAGGGGCTTAAAGCTGGCCGAAGCCAAGGGTTTGGGCTTTACCTTTAGGAGTTTTTCACTTTGTGGAGGTGAGGTCTCATGTTTCTTACCCCTGACGCTCTACCCCAGTGTGCCTTTTCAATCCCCTTCTGGCTGGATATAGGTCCTTCTAGAGAGTACTCATGGGCCGAGCTAGTCAGGGTGGGATAGAGTTTCTCCCCTGCCACCCCTTCCTTCCAGGGCTTCCTGCCTGCTTACTCATGGGCAAGAAGGGCACTGGCACGTCCTGGGAACCAGCCAGGGAGCTGCAGGAGGCCATGGCGCCCTGGCAGACAAGTCAGTATGATTAACTTACTTATAGCAAAGGCTTCGTCCTCTGCCACCACTCACAGCCCCTTCGGTTGTACCAGCCTCCAGCACAAATCTTCCCTGTTACTGCAGAAGCAGAGCCCAGCAGTAGTGACCTGTGTTGTGCCTGTGCTGCTAGGGGATGTTGGACAGCTTTGTGTCCCCTGTATGGACTCCTGTAACGGTCTTCCGCTGTGCTCTGCCCCTGTTTAGGAAATCCTCTCACAGCTGCCATGGCAAGCAGCAGGGATTCGGACGACGAGCAAGTAGTGCCGGATGAAGAGGAAGAGAGATCGGAGGTGAAGGCGGTGCAGGCCCACTACCTCCGCAGCCCTTCCCCCAGCCGGTGAGTACGTTTGCTGCAGGGGCTGCCATCATCTCCCGGCAGCACGTAATAAATTGCTGGGCTTTTCTTCCTATCCACTTGCATTAAATATATACATATATATATATACACACATATATATATGTAGTGTAGGGCTTCCCTTCTCTCCCAGAGTGTGGGGGCTCACATGCAGCATAGTCCTTGTGGCAGGGAGACACACTTCAGAGACAGGACTCTTACACGGTTTACTCCATGCAGCTGAGACTGCATGTGCACACAGGGATGTCTGCTTATCTTCTCTTCCCCATCACATCCTCTTATGTTGGCTCCCACGTTAAAATTTCAGATCCAGATTTCAACTCTTCTCAACGTCACCCTGTATTTCAGTCTGTAAGGAGGACCTGTGAAAATTTATGCCAGTATTAGTTCTTAGGTGCCTCAGAAAGGCTGCAGTAGGAATCAAGTTTGACAAGAACCTACCCTGTTGGACCTCAAGAAGTAGGAGGCTGTAAAATGGTTCCCATTAAGACCCTTCTCTGTGGGACACTGCAGCAAAATGAAGATAAAGTGTTGTTTCATTTAAGCAATTTGTTTTAAAAATGTCTGGGAAGTTCAGGGGCTCACATAAATTAGAATTCTGTATTGATCTTCTCTCTCTCCTTCTGATGATCACTCATTCAAAATAAGCAGGTACCCCCCTGCCTTGTGCTGCCTTGCCACCCCCTCCCTTCTCTTCCGTTCCTTCTCCTCCTTTCCTCCTTTTTCTTTCTTCTTTGGCTGTTCACACCACACACAACCATGAAAACTGTAAAGTCCCTACTGTCAAAGTGAGGCTTTGGAAGCATTCAGGCTTGAAAACAGCAGCTCTGCATCTGTGTTCCATGGGTGCCAGGGACAGCTACTGGCAGAATGTGTTGAGGCTGTGGCAGCACCTTATTGCCAACTTCTCTAGCTTTGTTGAGATGTGAGGCAGTACCTGCAGTAGGGGGAACTGAAGGCTGCAAATTTGCTTCAACTTCTGCAAAAACAGCTGAACCTTCCCACACCTCCCTCTTGTTCATCCCATAAACTCCCTGGACAGCTAGAAAAAGATTATTTTTAGTCACTGTTGACAAGTGCTGGAACCCAACCAACTAACCTAGGCAGTCCTGCTGAGCAGACTACAGGTGGCTGTCTTCCATTTTGTGTTTGCAGAATGAAAGCACTTTAGCTAGACAGACATTTTCTGTGCACTGTGACTGCACATAAATCACCCTCCCTCTTCTATTTCAGTTAAACAAAAACAAACAGTGCATTGCAAGTACAGCAGGCCTGCATCTCCAGACAGCTTCTGTGACGGTGAAAAACTTCTACTGATGATATGTATGATCTCTTTGGAGGGAAATGTAGGCAAATTCTCTGTAAAATATTTTGTGAAGATGTGTCTAAATAAGAACAGAAGACTCACTTGGGCTGTACAGGTGGTCTCAGATGGGAATATATTTGTTTTCAGGATTGTAGCCCCTGTTTTTTGCTCAACAGAAACTTCTGTAAATCTCTCTGTGAGCCAAAGAACTATCTGGAAAGCTGTTTGTGGTTTTCATAGTTGTTTCTGACCTCCAGCTGTGTGACACAGCACTATGTGACAGGAGTGACTGATCACAGATTTGTGCTATGAAGTAAATAGTGTTGCAAGTACTTACGGAGAAATTTACAGCCTTTAATACATATATTTGTACTGCAGCCCCTGATAACTCAAAGGATATTTGCAGACAGCTAACAGAAAAAGGGTGCCAATTTTCCAGCATAATTCATTTTGAATTGTTGAAAAACTCTAGTTAGGACCATGTTTATGTCTGTCTTTCTATGTGAAAGCCACTTGCAAGATTATTCCCTATGATCCATCCACCTCCCGGTATCAAATCAGCCACTTTCTTCTCTACCCAAAACCTCCTCCACAAGTCATTTCTCTTGCACTTCTATCCCACTGTCTGCAATTCCTCTTCCATGGGACCTGTCTTGACATCCTGCAAACACACAAGTGTATTTGAAGGTCATTGCACCACCATCCTGGAGATTGCTGTGGGAGGAGCAGGAAGGAGAACTGGGGTTTTCTATCTGTTCATCAGAGGATCCTCTCTGCTCCAATTTCCTCCTGCAGTCTTCTGGAATGGGTGAAGAGGGCTATAGTTCTGGAAGTGGAGGGCATTTGCCTAATACAAATTTTGGTTGGTTGGCAGATTTTCGATGATATCAGACACTGATACAGAGAGCATCTTCATGGAACCAATCCATCTGTCATCTGCTGTGGCTGCCAAACAAATAATCAATGAAGGTAAGAGGAGGAAAGATAACAGAAATATGTAAGTAATAGGGACTTCATTTGTACTTGCCTTTTTCATCTAGAGACCCTAAAATGCCAGATAAGCCTTTACAAGTAAACCACACATGAGCTAGATATGAAAAAAATACAAATAAATGACAACGTACAGATAAGTTTGGTGTCTTTTATTGAAGTTGTGAAGTAACTCTCTTCCAGAATTATGTACTACTGTGGTGGCTACAGTTTGATTACTAGTTGCTAGTTTTACCAAGCTATCTTCTACTGTTCCTGTGGGCTTAGAACCAATGTGCACTTAGCTCCAAGGTCTTTGGCCAACGTGGGTCTATGAAGTGAGAGGAAAGTGTAATATGCTGTTCCCATTACCAACTACCTTAAGGCTACCTGATAAGTGTGCCCACATTTCAGTTAGAATGGTGTGATGCTGCTGGGGAAATGAATGCCACAAGAGTTGTCGCAGGGACAAAGAAAGCCAGGTCATGTATTTCCTTTGTTTATACATGCTTTTAGTTACAATGTCAGTTTATTCCAGAACTGAAAACAAAGGATGTCAAAGTAGATTCAGTGTGTCCCAGGATGTTAGAGTCTGCGCAACAGTTGATGGTGGAAGACCTTTACAACCGAGTTAAGGAAAAGATTGATGACACCAGCCTGTTCAACACACCATGTGTGATGGACTTGCAGAGGGCACTTGTGAAGGACAGGCTGGAAACCCCCAGGGATGCTGTGGACGAAGTCTGGCCTAACATCTTCATAGCAGAAAAGTAAGTGTCAACTTTTGTCATCGAGTTTCACAAGATTCCTAGTGAAGGGTCAGATGAAACCATGAAAGGCATAACACATATTACATATATCTAATACCTTTCATCCCTAGAGAGCCCAAAGGTGTTTTTCAGAATATGCTCACAAAAATTGCTGTGTGCCGAGAAGCAAGCACTACTGGAATAGGATTCAGCAGCTTTTCTATGCTATTTTGGTGCTTCAGACAATTTAGGAATGAAAAATGGAAGTGAGCTCCAAACAAAACTCTTCTGATTGGAATTTTGCCCTGAAAAAAAATGGGACTAAAGTCCTTATTATATAAAAGACTGAAAAATAAGTAACAGCAAATATGGAATGGAAGTGGCTAGATATTCTGAACCATGGCTCAGCTGTCTGAGACACTTGTTCATGTGACCAGGAAAGAATTAGGAGAGAATATAATATAAAACAGCAATTATGGGCTGATAAAAAACAGAGAAATAAGTAAATGACCTGAACCTAAGAAGGCAGGATGAGTTTTAAATCAAGCTAACGTGAAACTGAGCATGTAGCTATGCTGGTGAGAGCAAGTTTCTCATTTTCTTTTGTGAATGAATATTGGAGAGAAATATCTATAGAACTCTCGAAGGACCTTAAAGCTGAGAGGAGCAGCATGTTGGATAAGTAACTCAGAATGTGAATTCTGTAGCACTTGCAGCAAACAGCTTTTTTCCTACCCAAAAATAGGAAGACCAATATCTAACATCTCATTTTCTTTCTTGAAGAAGTGTTGCAGTGAACAAAAGCCGTCTGAAGAGGTTGGGGATCACTCATGTCTTGAATGCAGCTCATGGTACAGGTGTATACACAGGACCAGGTTTTTACAATGGTCTGAATATCCAATACCTGGGCATTGAAGTAGATGATTTTCCAGATATAGATATTTCCAAACACTTCCGTCCAGCTGCTGAGTTTGTGGACGAAGCACTGCTAACTTACAGAGGTAAGAGGAAAAGACTATACTGGCTCTAGAATGCTTGGGAATTAATATCTTGAAGTGTCACTGTAATAAACAGTTGGTACCACATTTGTAGTTGGGCAGAAGGCATGGTGTTTTGATCTTTACATGCAGGTATGGTGAGCACTTTATGGTGAGACTAACAGAGCCTTGCTTACGTCTGCTTCATACTTACAAGTTTTTCTTTGTAATTGTAATTTCCTGTTACTTTAAAAAAAATCCTCATGCCAAAGCTTAGTTTTGCCACAAATGCAGTTTCTGTGTAACCCTGAAATACTTTGATTCTAGCTCTTGCAGGCAGTGTTTACAAAACTGTAGGTCCCAGTAGCTTGGAGCAGAGAGATTATCAGAGTCAAAATCAGATCTATTCTGCTAGTTGCTTGCTCCTCCTGGTCCTGAGACAATATGACACAATACGACTCTTGCCTCCAGCCAGTCTGCATGTAACTGTTTCAATGACCCTTGCAAAACAGCAAATCTTTGATTTGGCAAAAAATATAATTATATTAATATAAAATTGTGTTTAAGTCCTTTAACATGCCTTATAAAAATTACTTACTTATCAACCCAATACATTCCTGGAGGCTAGTATTAATATCTTTCTCATGTATTGATATCTTTCTCATGTATGGGGAAACCGATTCAGGAGAAGTTTTAATGTGTTACTCTAGGCCACCCAGCAAGAATTCTGTATTTCTTACCTTTCTAATTCCTGCTAATAATCTTTGCGATTATTTGGGGAAGTGACAATATAGGTAAAAATATGAATATTTTGTTGTCTACAGCTCTTGAAACTAACATGCTTTCTATTCATATCTATCCAGATTTTTATTAAGACAAAACAAAACTAGCAAGAATTCTTTAGTATTGGTTTCAGTTACTGAACCATGTAATCTGATTTTTAACAGTATTCAGAAAAAGCTCTTCTGCCACATATCAGAGCAATCTCTCTATGTTATTGGAAATAGCTAATTACTTTTATATTCAACATCTGCAGGCAAAATCCTTGTGAGCAGTGAAATGGGAATCAGTCGCTCAGCTGTGCTGGTGGCTGCTTACTTGATGATCTACCACCATATGACCATCCTGCAAGCTCTCATGACTTTGAGAAAGAAGCGTGCCATTTATCCCAATGATGGCTTTCTGAAACAGTTAAGAGAGCTCAATGAGCAATTACTGGAGGAACGAGAGCTGGAGAATACTGGAGATGATGAACTTACTCCCAGTCAAAGTCCTGTTGTCCATGCAGGGACTTCTTCCCAGCTGTCTGGATTTGGGGACTCAGAAAGCATCATGGGGGCCAAAGCCCACTCTATCCTGGTAGAAGAAGAGGACACCAGCAGCCTGCTGGGTAGTCTTATGAGCTCTCCATCAGTGGGAAAAGCTAGTTGTGTTTCCAAACATTCCACCCTCATCAGTGAGGAGGAAGAGGAACAGCTCTATGAGGAATGGAGGAAGAAACAAGGCCTGCCTGCAAAGGAACCAGCAAGTAACCACGGAAGGAGAACATCTCCAAAGCTTCTGGCTCAGGAAGGGGAACAATCTGAGGAGGATGTGGAACAGATAATCCATGACTGGCAGCGCAGAAATGAGAAATACCAAATGGAGGATGGAGACTTCAGCATGGGAGGAAGACATTATGCATCAGGTGAATTCAGTGATGTTGAGAGTGTGAGTAGTCTTGAGATCCGTGCTCTCAAAGAACAGCTGGAAGCCAGCAGTTGTAATAGGATGAGGAGGAGCCGCACAGGCTCTATTTCTTCTGAGAGCACTTGGGACATGTGGAACCAGAGACTTATGGAGATTGAGAAGGAAGCCACACAGAGGTATCATTCTAAGAATAAAAGTGGTGGGGAGAGCTGGTCCTCCAAAACAGGAAGAAAGGAAAGGGATGTGGATGAGGAGAGCATGTTTTCAGACTGTAGCTCCTTTTACAACTTCTGCCAAAAGAACAAAGACAAGCTTACTCCTCTGGAAAGGTGGAAGGTCAAAAGGATCCAGTTTGGCTTTCACAAGAAGGATTTGGAATCATCGTCATCTTCTGCTCCATCTCCAGCTGAAGATGGCAGCCAGACTGGTGGAGAGGTGACAGAAGGGAAGAGCTTGTCAGATATTAACCTGTCTGCTTACCAGGCTTGGAAAATGAAGCGTCAGAAAAAGCTGGGCCATGAAAGCAAGGATGAATTTGTAGAGCTTGCCAAAAGTGAGGATTCTGCTTCAGCCAAAAAGAAGCAGAGGCGAGCAGAGCTCCTGGAACGTTCAAAGAAAATCTTAGAAGAAAGCCAGTCCATGTGCAGCTGGGAGACAGACAGTACAATGAGTGGGAGTATCCCCCTGTCAGCTTTCTGGCCCTCTGCACCTTCTGCGAGTGGTACTGAAGATGCATCTTCTGCCTTGAGCATGCAGACAAATCACTCATCTGTATCCCAGGCCAGGAGTGCTGCCGGGGCAGTGCGACCTCAGACACCAAGTATACCCCTCCCTAACCTCCCAGTTGGCCCAGGTGACACAATATCCATGGCAAGCATTCAGAACTGGATTGCTAATGTGGTCAGTGAAACCATTGCTCAAAAGCAAAATGAGATCATGATGCTGTCCCGTCCTTCTTCTGCAATGGCCTCCAGCGTAATGTCGGGAGACCTTGGCAGGCATGTAGATGATGATAAAGTTTCCCTTCTCAGTGCTCGGAGTGGCTCGTCCCTTGCTACCTCTCAGTGCCGCCAGCAGGAGATGCAGAGGGCTGAGTCTCAGTCTGTCCTGTCTTGCAATACCTCAGTGAGTGCAAGAACAGAAGGGACTAGTTCAAACCTGAAGGTAACACAGACAAGCAAACCACTGTATAGCCTCTTTGCCGATGATGTTGACCTGAAGAAACTCAGGAGGAAGGAGAAGGAGATGCAAATGGAAATGAGAGAGAAAATGTCAGATTATCAGATTGAAAAGGTGGTCAGTGACAACAAACGCAGTACTTTATTTAAAAAAAGGGTGGCCAAAGGAGAGGAAAGTGATAATGAAGATGACACAGAGAGCACATCAGGCAGCCATAAACACACCTTCCAAGCAGATCTTGACAGAACTGATAGAGGATTTGCTCTTTCCAGTCAATTTGCAAATGCGAGTGCACTGAAGTCAGAGGTAGAGACTGACATTACCAAGTGGCTGAGTGGTCTGAAAGAAAGAGAACCATCATATAATGATCAAAGTGAGAAGGCTAGAGAGAAATATAGCAGATCATCCAGAGTTAGAGAGATGGATTCTGAAACATCCAGTTACAGATTCTGCAGATCCCAAAGAGAAGAGCTAAACAGCTCATCTTCCTATGAGTCAAAAGGAGATTCACTGAGAACCATGTCAAGGTTTTCTTCTGCTTCTGAAAGAGAGGACAAAAAGATGTATAAGTTCACGAGGTCTCGGGTCAGTGAAACAAGTTCAGGAGAAAAGAGCCCGGATCTGTATGATTTCAGACGAACACCTGAACCATCCTTTGCCTCTGAATCCCCTGAACCGTCTACACAGAGTCGAGCTAGATGTCATCATGTGGAGGAGTGTGAAGAGGAGGCCAGGTCAGACATGTCAGAATTTGGAGCTAAAAGAAAGTTCACCCAAAGCTTTTCAAAGTCTGAAGAGGATGGAAAGAAAGAGGCAAAAGTAGAACAAAGTGAAGAGAGATTTGCATCAAGAGAGTTCTCTCAGTACAGGAGACGCATGCGTAAAGAAGAGGAAGAAGAAGAGATGGATGATGATGCTATTATTGCTGCTTGGAGAAGCAGACTAGAAGAAACTACTGCAAAGCTACGTCGGAGAAAGGAAGAGTGACCAAAGATCAGATTATAGGAACACAAACAGAGTCACAGTCCCAGAATCACTCATCATTATATTTCTAACAGTCCTTTGTGGTTTGTAGGACATTTCCTGCAGATATTTCTCTTTTCTTAATCAAAAGCTGTAAAGGGAGGAGGTCAAGTTTTGGAAGTGTTTGTGGTTTGTGAGAAAGATGATGCTACTATTAAATGATCAATGTAGGTAGGATTGCAAAGGTAGAAGCCATTAGGAGCCAGAGGACATTTCAGCAGCAAGAGCAAGTAATGGTGGCACACCTCAATTCAAGAGACCAATCACATCCCATTTTTGGTTATTTCAATTTCCTAGCCTTGTTAAAGACTGGACATATTTTTTTCCTAGGATCCTTTTGATCATAAATGGGAGAAGCCAACAACGTTTTCTAGGAACTCGAAGAATGTTCCTTCCTTAATCAGTTTTACTTTATTCCACTGAGAAGATATTGCCAGGTAGGCTTCATTTTCTATACCAGCTTAGAAATGTCTACAGAACTAAGACAGTTCAGGTAAATACATGCACATGAAACACATGAAATAAGAAAATGCCTCCTTTTTATTACAAGCTCAAAGCAGTAATTTATGTATTCATGTGGTACTATTGTTCTGTATTAGATGGAGTCACCTTCACTCCAGTCTGATTGGTTCATGCTGATAACTTTGCATCAGCAATAGGAAAGGTCCTGTACTACTAACAGACATCTAAAATTATGTTCTAATCACTCTAAAGACACAGAGTTTGTGTTAGGATTACCACTAGGTTAGGGTGGATTTCTGAAGCACTGATTTCAACTTGTTGTATGAATGCAGCTAAGCCTGGGCTTTTATGTCTATGGTCATATTGTCATGCAGTGTTTTCAAGATTCTTGCCTTAACAGAGTAATAAGCAAACTGACTTCTTATAATAAAATGATGTATAGTTAAAGTTTTGGTAGAAGGCACCAGGTAAAGACTTATCTATGTGTCTCAGGATGTCTGATGAATGCAGTACTTTGAAGCTAAATGGGAAATGGTCAGGAAATGGTCAGGTTAGGAAATGGTCAGTTTAATTTGCCTGATAAAGTTAACATGCCCTTTGTCATGTGAGCTCAGAGCCCACTTTTGAGAGTGAGCGAAGGGAACAGTCTGAGGCCTGCACAGGCCCGTGAGCTCTGGCGTGACACGACAGCTCTGTCTCACCATCATTGTGTGGCTGCTGTGGTCTGTGCCTTTAATGCGTCAAAGCACTCAACTCTCTACCACCAGGCAACATCCTCCAGCCCTCTCTTTAACCAGCTAGGCCAGTTTTGCCTAACTGGAATTATCTGTTCCCTCTCCTGTATGGACTGTATTTTGCAACCCTCTGGCACAGCCAACTGTGAAACAAAGAGCAGTGGAGAGACGATGCCTCAGAGCATCATTGCTCTCCCTCAGAAGTTTTGCCTTGCCATTGTGTCGCCGTCTCCTCTTCCTCTCCCTGTGATGTTCAGAGCTCACTATTATTATTATATTAGTACCTCTCGCCATTTTAATTTTGTAATATAGGCTACTGCAGCTCCACAGGGAAAGGACCTGCTCTTTATCCATATCGGTATGGTGCCATGCACATCAGTAGTGCTATCTAAATAATGGTGACTGATAACAAAATGCAGCTGCCAATTTTCCTAAACTTGGAATCATTTCTCTCAACTATAAGTCACTGATTAGACATTATCCCTGCTTCTCTGAAGATAAAGATACCTCTTTCTGACAGCCAGGACTAGCGTAAATGAGAGCTACTTATTGCCAGGTGAATGAAAGGGAGTCTGAAAATCAGATGATTGAACAATAACAGAGGTATAAAAATAAGGAAAAAAAAAAGAGAACATATTTTACTTGTGTGGGGATTTTTTTGAGTAAACTCAGAATACATTTTTCAAGTACATAAGGAACATAGTCTTATTAATGTTCCAAGACATGGTGCAAGGCTTATAATGTACTTTTACTGCAATATAATATATAATATAATGTATGCCTTCTGCATATTTCTGTGAGGTTTTTCTGAAAAGCAATGGCATTTCAGGCTTTTATTAACATTATGAGATTTTTATATTGAATTTCTGCAATGTGTCCTAGGACAGGCATTTTCCTCTTTTCTTTATTCTGGTAAAGGTGCTGTGTGCAGAACAATTTTATGCATATGTATAACTGGAGCTTTCTTTATCAAGGTGCTAGATTCAGCCAAGAAATGGTCTTAAGTATAAGCACGTGAATAGTCTTCCCTCTTCAATGGCTCATAACATTAAGCAGTTACTTAAGTCTTGATGGATCAAAGTGTCTACAATACCTTCTGAGATTGAATTTGCTTTACTTATCAAAGGCTGGTTTCCTCTGAAAATCTCTATTCCGATGCCTGGCTGCTGTTCTCAACAAAGATGTTTGTCCTCTGCAGGTACTGTAGGGGGCATCTTACACTGTAAAAGATGAACATCATATGGTGGTGTAATTGGTTTCATTTTGCACTGTACAGCACAGCCTTTGTTTGGGCAGCATTTTGATTTAAACGGTATTCCAGGTCTGCCGCACAAATAAATTATTCAGGACTGAGGGGCAGCGTACGGTTCTGTAACGAGACTGAGGCAAACCACCCTGATAGCAAGTTTTGACCCTTCTGGGAAAGGGTTAAGTGGGTTCTGCTGACTCACTGAGGTAGGTGGCTTATTAGTTCACTCGTGTAAAAGGGAGATAAAAAGGGCTTGCTGGGGAGAAACCATCTAAGATGCTGGCTGAGCAGTCATAAGGGAAAAGCCTTAGAAACAGCAGAACTTTATTTTCTTATTGCTTATATCTTGGTTAATAAAGCCAAACCCCCAAAGCAAGAAGGGGATGGGGGGGATATTGGACTCCATTCAGTATATGGCCTGCGTTTGAAAGTGCGTTGGGAAAGGCTCCAGCTCACAGGTATAAATTACATGAAACAGTGACATAAAGACCTTGCATGGTGAAAATATTAAAGCATTCAGTCATAAGCCCAATAACCAGGAGAGACAGAAATGAAGAGGTTGAAGGCAGGTTTGAAAGTCAGGTTTTAAGATGTGAGTTTAGGAGACAGGGAATCAGTAAGGGGAGATTCTGCACAGATTGTTTCAGGTGACCAGGGCTGCAGAGAGGATGCTCTGTCAGCAACCCAACTAGTCCGACTCTAGATTAAAAGACTAGGTTAGTATCCAAATTTATCTGGGGAGAATTCTTCAACAGAGATGCACTGGGATTTGTATTTTTGCTCAACCTCACTTATCTGCTGCAGACAGGAGGATTTTTTTTTTTTTTGGTATTGTGCAGTGGAAAGGTGAAAGTGCAAGGAGCATCCATATAGCCAGTTAAAAATATAAAAACGGGAACATCAGAAAGGTTCTTTGGGGTCAGACCAAAGGTCCCTCTAGCTCAATATCCTGTCTCTGACAGAGACCAACGGCAGATACCTAGGGAAGAATATAAGAGCAGTGATAAAAGTTGTATTTTCCTAGCATGATCTCCCAGCCTCCATTTGCAACCGTAGGCCTTCCTGAGCTAAATGTGATTTTTTGTATTAATAGTCCTTGATAGATTTTCCTTCCATGGAGGTGCCTAGTCATTTTGGAGTTATAGCTCCAAATAATCTTTTACCCATTAGCCTCCATGATCTCCTATGGCAAGAAATTTTACATTGCTACTTGCTACACATTGAATGCTAAAACATTTTCTTTTTGTCTGCCTGAACTTGCCACCTACCAGCCTCCTCTGATGCCACGAGCCAATCTCCATTTAGTATCCATGTGCCCAACAAAATTCTACCACTGTTAGCTGTCTGTTTTTCAGCCCCACTGTCTGTTTTTCAGCCTGAGTTATTCATACTTCACATGTGAGCTGTTCATATGTGAGCTGTTCCATGTCTCTGATTTTCTTGTTCATTCTTGTCTGAACCCCTTCTACTTTATCTTGAGATGCAGCAGCAGATCCTCACACAGCACTGAGCATACAGGTGCAGCATGGATTTATTCAGTAGCATAAGGACCTTCTTTATTCTGTTCTTTTGTTCCTTCCTTATTAATTCATAAGAGTTTACATGCTTTTTTGGGATATTGCTGAGCACCAAGCTGACATTTTCATGGAACTATTTATTATATCCACAAAATCTTGTTGCTGAATGGCAATGATCAGCTCTGATATTATTTCATATGTTAAGTTTTCTTACGTGTTTGTTCTACATTTATTAACCTTGAATTTCAACTGCCATTTTATTCCTCAATCTCTCAGTCTCATTAAGTCCTTCTGCAGTTCTTCACAGTGGACCTGTAATTTCTTCTACTGTTTTCTTAATTCCCCTTGAAAGGTGTAGGAACTGAGGGTATGTGGGAAGTAGAGAAGTTAAGGAGGGATACATGAGAGAGAAAGGTAATTGACGTTGGTCTGAGGGAAGTAAGAAAGTGTATGAAAGCTGGCTAGCTAAAAGTTATGAATTGTTCAAAAAGAACTGAAGACAATAGACAGATTAAGGAGAAGATTTTGAATCTCCAAGTGAATGGGGAAAGTAAAACGTGCATGGAAGCCAAAGAGGCTAATATTCATTTGATACAGGAAATGTTTGTTTGTTTAGAGCTATATAAACTGTGGGCAAAGAGTATGGGGCAACCTCTTTTTGAGCAAAGGAGATAGTGGCATTTAAATAAATCAGAGGTTTGTGAGAAATGCAAAGGGGACTGTGAGAAATGGGAAGGGTGACAGATATTAATGAGTGAGAAAGTGATATCTGTGGTAGACTGTGAATTCAACAATGCAGCATGGCGAGAGGAGCTGAAATGTTGCCAGAAACAATTATTCCCTTTGTAGCAGCTGCATTCTGCCTGGTAGCATTGATAGGTATAGGCCCATAGCTTTTTTTTTTTTTTTCCTTCCTCCTATCTAGAATTTTCAGGACAATTTGCTCCTAGCAATTGCTATTGCATGTGACACTAGCTTAGACTGGATAATTATTAGAGAGGGACTTTTAGCACCATTTCCTTCTTTTACAGCTCCCGGAGAAATGTTTACCCATTAGTTGTAGTGGAGAACTACATGAATTATGAGACAAGCTTTGGCTGAGGATGGTTATGTTGCATTGCCTGTCCTTCCTTAAAGGGTTTACCTAGAATACACTGGGTCTATAAGTTATAACATGAGAAAATAGTATCCATGAACTTCCTAAATTTATGGACATCCAATAGAGATGCAGGAAACACTGGACTAATGTGGTCTAGGGACTAGAAAAATGCTCATATACTCCAGCTCATGCACTCCAGGCTCATACACTCTAGCAAAAATCTCTTTGAGAGCTACTTACCTAATCTCTGGAATTTCACTTGTCATTTAGGAAAAAAAAAATGTTAATGCTGACTGGTTTAGTTGGTAAGGAAACTACTACGAAAACGTGAACAGTGCTCTGGAGAGATGGGAGCATAGCTCTAAATGGTGTATGA